ATAAAACCCGGGATCGCTATAAAGTCTTAGTAACATCGTAACTAAAAATAATTTTTGTGATGATTTTTTACATATATTGCTAAAAATTGATAATTAATGACTTTTTTTGGTCATGATTTTTATAAATTGTCGCCAAACTTACAATTAGTGATTTTTTTTTTGTGATAAAATTTTCAAACTGTAGCTGAAAGTTGAAAATTAGTTATGCTTTTTTTGTGATTTTTTTTTCAATTGTCGCTACAACTTATAATTAGTGATATTTTTTGTGACAAAATTTTCAAAATGTTGTTGAAAATTAACAATTAGTGACATTTTTTTAATAGTGCTTGATAAAAAACGCTGTTAATTATCATAGGATCTATTGGATAATAAGTCTACCTATTAACACCTGCACATACCTTAAATTATTGATCACCAACTTATTTAAAAGTTTAAATTATTAGGTTGTGTTTGGTTGGAGAATTTCATTAAAGAAATGAAAACAGAAAATGAAATATAATCCTACTTTTTGTTTGGTTATAATGAAAAACACAGGAAAAAAGAAAGAGAGGAAAATACTTGTTTGGTTTTAGTTTTCAGAAAACAGTTTTAAGAAAATTCTACTTTTTTATTTTTCGTATTTTAATATTTTTAATGAATTTTTTTAATATTTTAAGCATTTTTTTAATTTTTAGACACACCTAACATAAATACACTTAAAAAGTATAATATTTATAAAAAACATCTTTAAAAAATACACTAAATACCAAAAAATACATTAAAAAAATTCAAAAATTCAGTACATTTTCGTATTTTTTGTATTTATTAATTTTTTAAAATATTTTTTCACAAATATTTTACTATTTTAGATACATCTAAATAAGATGCATCTAAAAATAAAAAAATTACTTAAAATTTTAAAAATATTCACTAGAAACAAAAAAACACGAAAAATAAAAAACTCAATTTTCATAAAACTGAATTCAGAAAACTGAAACCAAACACACTAAATATTACTTTTTATCTTTTGGGTTTACTTGGATTTTTTTTTTTCTCCATTTCCCAACTCGGCCTAACATAACTTGAAATTCGAATCCTATTAATTTTTTCTCATTTTTTTTTTACTATTTCCTTTTCCTTTTTTTTTTTTATTTCTTTCATTAAATTCTCCAATTAAATATAGTCATAGAGAAAAAGAATCTTGTTATTCATATTATATTCTTAAAATATTATGCATCTTTTATGAAAATATTTTTGAACTATAAAATGTGTAATATTATTATGCAATGCATAATTTCATTTTTAAATCACCATTTATCATACCTCTATAAAAAAAAAAAAAAAAAAAAAAATTTTAAAAAAAAAAAAACTTTTAACATTATCATTGCCCTAAGTGAATCTATATGTGTTAGCCAGCATAATGTACAAAGTCTGGCATGAGAATTTGGCTTAGAGAAAAATCATTGTGCTTTGTGTAATGATTTGATGAGCCACCCTTAAAAACTTACACATGCTTAGGCACAAATCTAAGATATCTCGTTTGCTAAACAAAAAGCACTAAACTATCCTCATCTAATTTTTAATTTTTGTTCTATTTTGTTTTATTTTGTTCTGTTTTTTTTTTTTTTTAAGGAGAGAGAAAATGACTTCTTCTGAATCAGAGGGGTTGTTTGGGGTATTTTAAATAAGTGTATTTTTTATCTTTTTAGACTAAAAAATTGAGGAAAAAAATATGGATGTTTGAGTTAACTTTTTGACTTTTTATGAAAAATGTGTATTAAAAAATTGTATAAATTAATGTGTATGGAAAAATTAAGATTGAGAGTTATGCCGCCGTAATTTTTGACTTTTAATAAATAGTAATAACTTTTTAATTGTTTAAGTAACTTTTTAATTTCTTAATTTTTTGACAACTTACCAAACTTGACCTGAATAAAGTCTATCATAATCTGTTTTTGGCTGGCGCATAGTTTTTTGTTTTTTGGGAATTGTAATTTAATAAAACCATAATTACCTACAAATCTTGTCAAATAGCATGAAAAATGGAAAGGGAGGCAAAATTGCCAACCGTCGGGCAATTTATTATAAATTAAAAAATAATAATCATAAAGTAAAAATTTTAAAAAAATTTAAATAATTAATTTTAATTAATTTAAATTATTTTTACTTAATAGGTTACAAATAAAAACTGTTAAATACACAAACTGTTAAATTAAACAAAACTATAAACATGACATTTAAATTATAACAAACACCCATCAATTTAATCAATAAATTTTGCGACTTATAGTCGAAAAGAATATCAAACTAGTCAGAATGTTATCATAAAAATAGTAAAAATAAATAAATATTATACAAATACATGTTACAAGAGAAAAGAACAATATTAGATAATTTTTTAAAAATTTATTCAAAAAATTTAATGTGTGATTTATATTCATTCTAAATGTAAATTTTACTAGACAAATTGAAGTTAAACCCCACAATATTCTTCTGTGCAAATTTCTGAATCGACATTTTGGGTTCCTAGAATAAAGTATCCTACAAAATTTTCTTCTTAATTGATTTGTTATAACTAAAATAATGTGATAGGTGCTAAATTAAGTAATTTTTAAAAAAAATATATTAATGTTTATGTCATTACTCTTCAAAATGTAATTGATTTGAGGGGCCTATAAGGTTACCATGAATCTCGTTTTAATGATTCAAAATGTTCATTTTGTAGGACCATCAATGTATATTATCTATGAAAAAAATTAGTTCGATCTATTAATTGTAACATTTTTTATTTATTTAAAAAAAAGGACAAAAAATATATTTTTGAAATTGATTATTCATTTTTTAGAGACAAATACGACAAAATAAAAAGATTAGGATTATTAGATCACCCTAAATTTTTTCATTGATCATATACATTGAGAGTCCTGCAAAATAAATAACTTGAATCATCAAAACAAGACCTGTGGTGGGTCTTACAAGCTCCCCAAGTTCCCTCATGTTAAAATCTCAAAATAAAAAAAAATCCAACCCATGTAAAAAATATATAATAAAAAGTTCACTTAAAATAAGAAAATACCAATTGAAAATTTTAAAATATTCAAAACTAAACCGTATAAAGTTCCTAAATTTTTAGGGAAGATTTTGAACTTATGAAAACATATTTACTAACTAAACTTCTTTAACTTCCGATCCCCCAGAAAAAAAACAAAAAACTGAGTAGCACTCTGGACTTTGAGATTGTAAAATTTCAAAATTCACTCTTTAAAAACCAAAGTTAAAAGAAAATTAAACAAATAATTGAGTTCACATGTGGGCCATAAAAACACGTTTTTTTTTTTAAATATTCTAAAAAAAAATAATTTAGAGAATCGACCAACTTTTCAAACTATTTAAGAAACTAACCTGCTTTTTAACATCGCATTTTGAAAATGTAATTTTAAATTGAAATTGCATTTTCAACATGCAATTTCAGATGAAATCGTATGTTGAAAATGCAATTTCTGATGATATGGACTTTATTTTTTGAAATTACATTTTCAATATGCGATTTCAATGTGAAATTGCATGTTGAAAATGCAATTTCAATTTCAAAATCACATTTTCAAAAAAATAAATTAATTTTCTAAATAATTTAAAAAGTGAGTCAATTCTCTAAATTACCTTTATTATTATTATTTTTTAGAATATTAAAAAACAAAACTCATGAAAACGCAGTAATAAATGAGAGATAATTGATGCACGCATTGGAGGAGGGGTCCCTGCTGTGGAGAATCCACAACCGTGACTGCTGTGACGTAAAATGCCACCGTTTTAATGTTTTTTTAATTAATCTGAGGGTTTATTAATTCTTCATTAATTCTTTCACTATAACAAAACAAAACAATAAACCCAACAGGGATGAAACCATCTTCTGGGTCCCGCGGTCCTGTAAAGTTGAGGGGGGTGAGTTTGTGTTAAAAAAAAATTTATTTTATAAATAGAAAATATAATAAAATAAAAATAATTCATGGAACAAATCAATTTATGAAACCAAATTATACATTTTTTAAAATATTAATTTTAAAATTAAAATCAAACAAACTATACATGTTTTGACTTTTTCAAAACTGACTTAAATGCATCAAAAGTGAAATTAAAAGGGAAAAAAATTGTATTTGAAAAAATCAATTTATCAAACCATAAGCAAAAAAATGTAACTTAAAAAAAAAAAAAAAAAAAAAAACCAACTTAAGGCCAAAATATATTCAATTCACATCCAACATCTATATAAAAAAAATAAAACAAAATTCTGAGACATTTAAACTTCAAAATCTCCTACCAAATATCCCAAAATCTGTCTCAACCGTTCTAAATTATCCAAACAAAATTCTAAAAACCTTCAATTTGAATCCTCAAAACAAAAACTACAAAGTGGATCCCCATGTCAATTTTTTGGAGGCGGTTGGGAATAAATAGAAAAATCAAAAGAACTCTCATTTCTAAATTCGGTCTCCATTGGATTGCGCCCCACTGGATTAAGTGATATTCCCTATAAAAATAAAAATAAAAAGAAAAGAAAGAAAATTCATTAGAATAAATTTTATGGACTAAATTACATTACAAACATATATATATATATATATATATATATATATATTACTTACTTGAGAACTTTGTGGACTATGTGATGCTTGGAAAGACAAAGGTTGTGATTGTAGATACCTTGGTGAGTATGAATTAGTATCATGTGTGAGAAGATTATACCCATAAGTTATCAATTGTGGCCAATAGAAACTCCCACCATCCTACTCCATAAAACACCATGAAAAGTAAATACACTAATACAATGTAGTCTAAAAAATAAACAAAATAACATAAAACAAGAGCTAACCTGTGGTTGACTTAAAGATGAATTTTGAACATTTGTGATATTGCTTGATTGACCAATAATCTACATAAATTGTTAAATTTATCAATACATTACACAATTTATAAAAAAAATAATAATAATAATAAATAAATAACATAAAACAATAGCTAACCTATTGTTGGCTTGAGGATGAATTTTGAACATTTGTAGTGTTGCTTGATTGACCAATAGTCTAAAGAAATTCAAAAAGTTATCAATACTTTACATAATTTATAAAAATAAATGCATGTCATTTGAAATTTCAAAAGTACGTAGGTAATACCTTACTAAGGCGGGTAGGTTGTGAAATAACTTTTGTCTTCTCATGCCAAGGTTTTAATCTACCTCTCCCTTTGTGTCCAACGTCTTTCTTCTTTATGCCCTTAACTTGTGCAATGTTGGGGTCGTCCACATCGAATTCATTGGTACCAAAACTTCCAACTCCCTTCATCATATTATTTACTTTTACACACAATTCCTTAATTCCTTCATCAACCAATTGATAGGCAGGTTTGTGCATAGATGCTTGAGTTGCTAGTTTGACCATTCTTGGACAAAAATCTCTATAACGTGCTAATATTAACAACTTCGGATCATCCTCATCCATTACAACATTTTTCTCTTCAACTTCACAATCTTTTGCATCCAATCTCCATCGGCCTAATATATACCTTTCGGGAATTTTCATAACATTCATTCTATCAAGTGCTTTGATTGCATGACTACATAAAATTTCAAAGTTCTCAAATTTCTTACAAGTACAATGTATTTCTTGACAGCTTTTTTCTCCTCTTAGCCCAATAACTTCCACCCTACCCTTCACAATATACTCTTTACCATTACCATACAAGCCAATCACGCACTTAACTTCTCCTTCTAACTCATGGAATTGCTTCACTTGACAACAAAGGGACGTATCCAACTCACAATGAAATAAATCAAAGATAGGAGGGGTGTACAAACTCGCAACTTGGATTAAAATGGGAGACTTTTTCAATTTCATTCTTGGCAACTTTTGTCTAGAATCATATATTGCGGAAATTTCCTCATACCGCTTATCTACAACAATCCGATTGAAGTGAGTAAAGAAGTGAACAATGTTATGATCACCCTTCAAATATCCTCTTAATGTTCCATTTAGACTTTCACTAAGTTGTGTGCTTCGCATTCCTCCAGTAAATATCCACTTCATATACACATGCGCCCACTGCTCTCTTTTTCTCCAAGTTCTTTCATCCACTCATTCTCTTACAAGTTGTATTTATCAATCAAAGAATTCCAAGCTTCAATTAATTCATGCTCATTCTCGTAGTCATAAATGCAAGCTTTTAAATCGCTACTAAATTTTGAACCACTCTTGAATAAGTAACCTAAATGCTTCAAAGCATTTTGCATTAGGTGAAAAGTGCACAACCCATGAAAAACCTCAGGCATGATTTGTGAAATTGCCTTAGCCATTGCTTGATCTTGATCTGTGAAAAAACTAACAGGTTTTTTTCCTGACATTGCATCCAAAAATGTTTCAAATAACCATTCAAATGACTCTGCAGTTTCATCATATAATAATGCTGCACCAAAAATCACTGTCATTCTAAAGTGGTTAAAGCCACAAAATAAAGCAAGTGGACGGTACTCCTTATTTGTTCTAAAAGTTGTGTCAAATGACACCGCATTACCGAAAAGCCCATAATCTGTTATCATCTGATGATCAGCCCAAAAAATATTAGTAATCATCTCATCTATATCCAACTGAATGGCATAGTAAAAATATGGATTTTCTGCCACTTGCTGCTGGAAATATCTTAACAAACTCCCCGCTTCACCATACTGCAAGTTTCGCTGTCTTTTTGCACAAAGTAAGTTTTCTGATCCTCTCGCGTGAACCCTACAAATTCTTTTCCTCCTGCTATAGCACTAATAAGATTATGTGAAGCCTTAAGAGATATTCCACTCTCATCAGCTATGTCAATATTTATACCCTGAGCATCACATACCTTTCTCTGAGATGGCATCAAATGAGTACATTGAGGAAGATGTAAAGGGTGGTTGTGGTTGCTATCAAACTTCGACACAATCAACTTCGACAAGTCCCGCTTAAAAGATATATGCATAAATGTTTTACAATTTGTTCTTGTCTCACTTCGAGGATTTTTTATCATCGTGTACCGTTTATCTTTTTCCCTCTCTCCCTCCTTACAACAAACAAACTTTCTACTAATCATAACACCATCTTTCTGACTTTTGTTACAATAATCTCTTCTAATACTAAAACCCTTCTTCCGTATTCATTATAAAACTCATATGCAGCTTTTTCTGATGGAAACTCCATACCAAGATATGGTGATTTATCCTTGGCCAACTCTCTCATTTCTTCGATGCATCCCTCAAGTCCACCATCATCCATTATACTATCCTCCATTTCAACACTAACAAATATGGGGAAAAAATATATATATATATATATTAAACGAAACAAGAATCTGAGCAAAAAAGTTATTAATTAATTTTAAATGCTGAGTAATTAAACAATTCAATGAAATCTAATAAATCAATTAATAATGTAAATTAATTAAAAGGATAGGGGAGAGGGAAAAAAAAAAGATGTGTAATTTGTACAGTAACATTGGAAATTTATTGTATCTGAGTAGATTATAATATACAATTGCAAATTTATATTAGAATTAGTATATTATATAATATAGGGAATCTTTTGGCAGACACGCTTAAAGATGTGAATCATATGCCCTCTTATTATATAAATTTTTGATATATGTTTTGTATTTTTGTTACAAATGTTATGTCATCATTTATTGAGTTATAACAATTTATGATTAAAAAATTAAATTCGCATTTTATAGTAAGATTATAGATTTTTTTATTGAAACTTTTTTTAGACCACAAAATGCATAACATTATTACAAAAATAAATAACATTATTATAAAAATGTGTAATATTTCCACAAAAATACATAACATTGCTATAAAAAAAATAATTATGAATTACAAATTATCGTAACTCCTTAAAAAAATTATATAATATTTATACAAAAATACATAATATGTACAAAACAAATTACATAATAAAAAAAAATTTCTTGTAATATACAATTGTGTTTCTCAATCCATTCACAAAAAACAAACCAAACTATTATACTTGTTCAACCCACTAACATACTGTACAAAACATATATACATATAATATATATAGATATACATACCAGTTTGTTGAACAATAATGGTCTGTAAATCCAGCAGAAGAACGGTGAAGCAAAAATAAAGAGTTCAATCTGTTTGAGAGAAGACAAAAATGTTAAAAAATAAATAAATAAAAAATAAAAACTAACTTTTAGAAAATAAAAAAATAAAAAATAAAAACTAACTTTTCAATCCATGTCAATAGAGACTTTTGCTTACCGTGAAGATGGCGGCGGCCCTGTACAAAAATGTTTTGGCAGACAAATAAAAAAAAAAAAAAACTAACCTTTCAATCCAGGTCAATAGAGAGCCTTTGCTTACGGATTAGACGGCGGTGCCCTAGGTTTGTTGTTTTGTTTGTTGCAGTGAGAGAAGAATTAGTAAACCCTCAGATTAATTAAAAAAAAAATAAAAAATATTAAAACGGTGGCGTTTTACGTCACAGCAGTCACGGCTCCACAGCGGGGCACGATCTTCATTCTTACTAATTACTAATACAGAAATGCTTCGGACCCCCAAGTAAAATCGACCCCCACGACCCCCAGCTGAGCTGGAAAGTCACCTGAGAGGTCACGTGACTTTGAGAGCCACGCACCTCCTCTTTCTCTCTCCTTATTGAGAATTCAAAATCGGATATCAAAAAGATACAGATACCTCATCTCTATCACATAGAGATACAAATCTCTCCCCCAACAGCTACTCCCCTTCACTCCGATGTCCTATTTCTCTGTTCTTCACTCCGACGCCCGACGTCCCCTTCAATCCGACGCCCGACAGCTTCTCTTTCTCTAACCTTCTAGAGTTCTCCGCCGACAGCTCCCTCGATAGCTCCTTGACGTCCTCTTTCTCTGTTCTTCACTCCGATGCTGACGTCCCCTTCACGCCGGACAGCTCCTCTTTCTCTGTCCTTCCCTTGATTTGGGTATGGTAAATGGGTTGGGAATGACTTCTTGTGTTTCATTTCAACATTTGTTGGTTGTTCATGCTGAGAGTTTTTTTTGGAGCAAACCCACATGAATTTATAAGGTAATGGACTGTGAATGAGTGTTGATTTCCAGAGTTTTTTAATGGATTTGGGCAATGAAGAAGAAAATTGGTGAATTGGTGCAGAGAGATCTCTATTTGGAGCAAACCCAAATTCATCTGTACAGATTTAACAGAATAACTGATTCATCTGTAGAGCTCTTTTTGGTAAAGATTTAACAGAATAACTTACATGGTGTAGAGATTTGTACATAAATTTAGACATTGATTGATCAAATTTTAGTAAATGCTGCTAAGGAATTTTACGTGTTCTATAGAAGAAGTGTTCACATTTTAGCAAATCTGTAAAAGAGAATTAAATTGGAAGTGTTCACATTCTGTAAAAGAGAATTAAATTGGAAGTGTTCACATTCTGTAAAAGAGAATTAACTTGGATGTGGTGCTAACACTTTCATGATTAACATTGCTAAGGTGAACCATGAACACAGCAAATCCAATTGGAAGTGGTGCCAACACCTTCTGCTATGCATTGAGAAAAAGTATTCAAAAAATAAAGAACATGAATCTTTAGTCAACAAATTTTATTTATCTAGATGCTTGTTCATCATTCACAAGTTTTTCATCAATTTACCATGAAAGTAAACAAACACCATCTTCAACATCATTAAAATAAATAAATCAATTATAAGTTATACAGATCATACTTCTATAGTATTTGACAGAGTATACTATTTCTGATAACTCGGTTTCAGAAAATCAGTGTTGCCATACTAAACAAATTATTTCTGAAAATCAGTGTTACCATCTTCAACTGTCTAATGTTGTTGTGAGGCTACATCAACTTTTTTTTGAATGTATAATGTTGTCCGAAGCATTTCTGTTATTGCTCAATGTATTCTCAAACTGATTAAGTCTCTAATGTGTTCACACTCGGCATTGCAGACATACACAAAGAAAACAAGTTTTCGGAGAGCTATGGCCGTCGATTTCTGGGAAATAGAGCTATGGCGGACGGAGGAGGGAAGACGGAAGACGGAAGACGGAAGACGGAAGACGGAAGACGGAAGAGGGACAGAGAGCTATGAGCTATGGCGGATGTACAAGGGAAGAGTGAAAGTTAGGACCAGGGAAGAGTGAAATTAGGGCGCTTATTTTTCTTTTTCTTTTTTTTTTCACAGGTGCGTGTATCACACCCATCATAGTGCAAGTATTCTTCACATTGCTAAAGTAGTTGCCACGTCAGTGGGGGTGCTGGGGGTGGTAAAATGTGGGGGTCTGAATCGGAACTGTTACTAATAATTACATTCACATTATAACCCCATTACCACTAATTCTCTCTCTCTCTCTCTCTCTCTCACGTATAAATTGCCTCGTCACCTTCTCTTCTCTCCCATGGCCTAGTATATCTCTCTCTCTCTCCATATATATATATATATATGTTTGTTTTTCCATATATACTAGGCCATGGGAGAGAAGAGAAGGTGACGAGGCAATTTATACGTGAGAGAGAGAGAGAGAGAGAGAGAATTAGTGGTAATGGGGTTATAATGTGAATGTAATTATTAGTAACAGTTCCGATTCAGACCCCCACATTTTACCACCCCCAGCACCCCCACTGACGTGGCAACTACTTTAGCAATGTGAAGAATACTTGCACTATGATGGGTGTGATACACGCACCTGTGAAAAAAAAAAGAAAAAGAAAAATAAGCGCCCTAATTTCACTCTTCCCTGGTCCTAACTTTCACTCTTCCCTTGTACATCCGCCATAGCTCATAGCTCTCTGTCCCTCTTCCGTCTTCCGTCTTCCGTCTTCCGTCTTCCGTCTTCCGTCTTCCCTCCTCCGTCCGCCATAGCTCTATTTCCCAGAAATCGATATATATATATATTGACACAATAGATTTATCAACAATAGTAAGCACTGTAAAATGAAAATGGAAAAGCATTCAAAACAGTAAAAAAAAAAATGTATAAATTAAATTTATTCTAAATGTAACACTCACCACGCTAAGTTTGAATTTACGTAACATACTTTATTTTTAGATATTTTCGATGTTTTTTTTATTGGATGCATAGGTTTTTAGACCCCTTTTAATTCTCTTTCTTGTTGTACTCTTGAAGTGGGTATTCTGCTGCATTGGATTGTCACTATGATCTCTCAACACAAGAGAGTGTTTTCGATGCTTTGCCATTGATAGGGACCTTCCCAACTTACCCTCTTTCACCATTAGATATTCTTGTACCCAGCCCAAGTCCAATCTAACCTCAAGGTTAGTCAATATATACTACTTCCTCTTTTCTCATTGTACTAGCTTTTCTTGATTGCGATAGCTTTTGGGTAACTATTGTTTCAGAAGATTTCTTGTTTGGTTATGAAAATTATGGGATTGAAATTTGGAATCAAGAAATAATGAGTAGTTCTACTACTATTACTGTTGGATTTGGGGAGCCACAGAATCAACAGCCATTGCTTTTGAGTGAGAATGGTGTGGAAACTACTGTTGAAGAGACGGCCAAGAAGGTTAAAATGCAGCAGAGAAGAGAAGAGTAACAACAACAACAACAACAACAACAACAACAACAACAACAACAACAGTTCATCAAAGATGTTGTCAAGAAACAACAACAACAACAACAACAACAACAACAACAACAACAACAACAACAACAACAACAACAACAACAACAACAACAACAACAACAACAACAACAACAACAACAACAACAACAACAACAACAACAACAACAACAAATGCCACTCTGATTTGTAATATATACAATCAAGATTAGATCTATCAATAATATACATCAATTTATTTTAACATATTTTTTTTTTTTTTAATGTAAAATAAACTGATGTATATTATTGATAGATCTAATCTTGATTGTATATTTTACAAATCAGAGTGGCATTATATAGGAGAGGGTTTGGGTAGTAGGTGTAGTGTAGTGGAGGTGGTAGGTGAAGTGGGTGCTAGTGGAGATGGTAGGTGGAGGAGTAAATTGGTAAATTCTAACACTTTATATCTATTCATAACTGCTCTTGTGGGTATATGAAGGGAGTTATACAAAAGAATTTATAACAATTTGAGAATAGGAAAAAATTGTGACAAACACCCAAGTGTCACAAAAGGGTATATATATACTAAACAAATTTTAAAATATATATCATTTATTTCAATTTTGGTTTCACCATTTTAAAACATTTTTATCTAAAAAATATTAAACAATTTGAAATCCTAATTATTTTAAGTCACTTGTGTATCTTTTTGTAATTAATAAATCTTTATTTAAAAATAACCTGAAATCATCTCTTTTTCTTTTTTTGTTTTTTCTTTGCATGCTCAAAATTTTTCAGAGTTGTATTTCACTATTAGTATGAATTGAAAATTTACATCCATCGTGTGTTGTAGATTTTCGTTAACAAATTTATTTGATTATGCAGGAGCAATATTAAGTTACTGCGGTACTGTAAAATTTGTTTTAGTGACCCGGAATATAGGTCTTTTGACAAGTTAAACTCATCTTTATCATTCATCAATCGTTCAAAAATTTAGTTGTAAAATAAGTATCGCGTTTGCAGCCAGCACTAGTACATATATTGACTTATATAGAGTCGCGAATATATAGATACAAATGATGATGTTGTGCAGGAAATGGATAAAGGAGAGGGGGCAGAGGGAAATTTGAGGGAAGCCATAAAGATATTGGAACAAGAGATGAAGATGATGGAGGAGGATCCAGATATGCAACTTGAGGATGGAACGAAGAGGCTCAGGCAAGCTTGTTTCAAGGCTAACTACAAGAAGAGGAAGCTCATGGGGACAATGAATTTGATCGAGATGGACTCTCCTTCTTCTTCTTCTTCTTCTTCCAGCACCAACCATCCAAGTACAGAAGTCACCACCACTGATTATGGGACTAGGGATAATGAGGAACAAGAAGTGATGAAGTCACTTTGGTCCGATTGTTTTTCTTCTAATGTAATGTTCTAAATTTGAACTTTTTTCTTCTTTTTTAATGGAAGAAAAATCTAGAGATAAGGAAAAATTGTCTCGGAACTTGTCACCAATTTACATTGTCATTGCTTTTTCTTAAAGTGAATTGGGCCTCACTGAACCTGTTAATACAGTGGTTGCTTCAATATTTGTTTTTGGTGACATCTATGATTAGTTTGCAAGAAGAATTCTTTCTTATCAATAACTATCACTTAGTTTTATAATATTTTGAAAAAGATAATTTAAATTTCTCACCCCACCATTCATCCACACCACTAGCAAAAGCCAAACCAAAACATCCATCTCTTGACCACTGTAAAAATCAAACACCCATCTTAACAAATGCTATTGTACATCTCAAGAAAAGTGACCAGTGTATCAACCCTACATAGTTTGCACTTGCACTAAATCGAATTAACATATGCATCCGTACACTTGTGTATGTTTTCACTCACACCAGGCCACAAAGAGATCAAACATGCAAGGAGTACACAAGGGGTGATTGTGATCATTAGGATTTCGAGAGAGGGGGTTGCAAGGTAAGGAGAGAAGGGAAGGGAAGGAACTGGCAGGGATGGGTGGCGGCGGCGGCAACAAAGTAGGGTAGGGAAGGGGGTTGAGGGTTATGGTGGGAAGAAGGGTGGTGATGAGTGGTGGTAAGGAATTTGTTGGAGGAAATCTTATTAGGGTCTTGACAAAGAGAAGGAAGAGAGAGGGGACAAAATGGTCTTAAAAACTCAAATTTCATGAATTTTAAATATCAGGTCTTGCAATTTAAATCAAAAAAAAAATGTCAACGATTTTATTTATTTTTGAGTAAATTATATGAACCTTTCTTAAGATTTAGATTAAAAAAAATATAATAATTTTACAAATTTAACATAATTACATTAAGTTTCTTTAAAGTTATAATTCATATCCATAATTCACTAGTCAAATTGATGAAAAAAATAAGATTATCTCTTTTACACTAAAATGTACTTTCTACTTTGTTTATCATTATGTCTTTATCCTATTTGTATTAGTTTTCATTTCTTTAGTTACTAAAATTGTGGTTAGTATAATTATGTCAAATTTATTATATTACTTATATTTTCTCTAAACATTAATGAGAACAGTCTAATTTATCCTCAAAAAAATTTCTAAAACTTATTTGTAATGGGTTGGACTTCTCTAACATTCATATCTCAACTTGATAGAACTTGAGGGGCTTGTAGAGTTCATCATAGATCTTATTTTGATGATTTAAATTATTTGTTTTATAAAATCATCAATTTATATAATTCATGAAAACAATTAGTTTGATCCAATATCATATATTTTTGAAATAAACCAATCATTTTTTTTAAAATTTATTTTTTTAGAAAAAAATATAATAAAATAAAAATATCACAATTATAAAATCGAGTTAATTTTTTTTATGGTAAAGATTAAAGGCTCTCCAAAATAAATCAAAACCATTTGTAATTTCGCTTGAGAAAAAGAAGTGCAAGTGTTGTTTATTCCAATGTTTGGAATCAATACTGAAAGTTATATTATGATTCGAGACTCGATTGAGATGCAAAAACAGAGTGTCAGTCAATGAGAGCAATTTTACATCTCCTTCGCTCACACCCTTCTCCTCTCTCTCACTTCAATTTTCATTTCCATCTCTTTCCTCGTCTCTTCTTATCATCATCTTCTCGCTTTCACCTTCACCAACCCACCTCCGAAGAAGCACTGCAACAACACTCTCACCATACCCAACACCTCTCCACATCTTCCCACAGAGAAAAATCATTGATTTCGCTCGTAAAATCATGTTCAAGAAACACCCATTTGGTTCAAATCCATGCCCATCTCCTCCGAACATCTCTCCTTCAATCCCCCACTATTTCTCTCGCCTTCTTGACCCACATCGCTCTCTCTCCGTCCCACAATCTGAGCTATTCCCTTCGATTTTTCTCTCAAAATCCGAAACCCAATATCTCTCATTACAACACAATGATCAGAGCTTACTCATTGAGTAATTCTCCTGAGGAAAGCTTCAAATTTTATTGAGAAATGCGACGAAATGGTATAAGCCCTGACCCATTATCTTCTTCCTTTGTAACCAAGTCTTGTATTAGAATGAATTCGTTATTGCGTGGTTTGCAAGTTCATGATAAGATTTTGAGTGATGGGCACCAATATGATAGTCTTTTGATGACTACTCTGATGGATTTGTATTCAATTTGTCAGAAGTGTGATGATGCTTGTAAGGTGTTTGATGAAATGTCTCACAGAGATACTGTTGCTTGGAATGTCTTGATTTCTTGCTACACTCGTAATGGTCGAACGCGGGATGCTTTGGGTGTGTTTGATACGATGCAGAGCTCGCGGTGTGGTTCTCAACCTGATGATGTTACTTGTTTGTTTGTACTTCAGGCTTGTGCCAATTTAGGTGCGTTGGAATTTGGCGAGCGGGTTCATAGTTTTATTCGAGAACATGGATATGGAAATGCTCTCAATCTGTGCAATTCTCTTATAGTAATGTATTCGCGATATGGATGTGTTGATAAGGCTTATGAGGTCTTTAAGGGCATGCCTAATAAAGATGTGGTTTCTTGGAGTGCAATGATTTCGGGTTTAGCAAGTAATGGACATGGAAGAGAAGCTATTGAAGCATTTAGGGAGATGTAGAGAATGGGTGTTGTGCCTGATGATCAAACGTTTACAGGGGTTCTTTCTGCTTGTAGTCACTCTGGGCTTGTTGATGAAGGTTGGATGTTTTTCAATTCTATGAGTAAAGAATTTAGGATAATGCCCAATGTCCATCATTATGGTTGCATGGTTGACCTCTTGGGTCGTGCTGGTTTGCTTAACTTGGCCTATGATCTTATTCTTTCGATGGCTGTTAAGCTAGATGCTACAATGTGGAGGACTTTGCTTGGAGCTTGTAGGATTCACTGTCACGTTACCCTCGGAGAACACATTATCGAACATTGGATTGAACTCAAAGCACAAGAAGCAGGGGATTATATTCTGTTGTTGAATATTTATTCTTCTGTTGACGATTGGGAGAAAGTGATAGAAGTGAGAAAATTGATGAAAGAGAAAGGAATCCAAACCACACTAGGATGTAGTACAGTTGAATTGAAAGGAGTAGTACATGAGTTTGTTGTCGATGATATTTCACCTCCATGAAAGAATGAGATTTATGAGATGTTGGATGAGATTGGATTGCAACTAAAAATTGGCGGTTATATCGCTGAAGTAACATCTGAGTTGCATAATTTGGGTGCTGACGAAAAGGAAACTATACTATCTTATCACAGTGAGAAGTTGGCCATTGCTTTTGGCATTCTTGTAACTCCACCGGGTACGACAATTAGAGTGGCGAAAAATCTCCGGACTTGTGTTGATTGCTACAATTTTGCAAAAGTGCTTTCTGGGGTTTATAATCGTGAGGTTATTATTAGAGATCGCACCAAGTTCCATCATTTTCGAGAAGGGCGCTGCTCCTGCAATGACTATTGGTAGAAAAGGGATTTTCGTGTGGATTTGAGACAGCACTCGCTTTGGGTTTGTTACCCGGGCCTCTGATCTAGGTGCCAGAGAAACACTGAAGGGAAACATATTGAACTACCCTAGCAAGATTGCTCCTTCCACCCAGGCAGTTTGTTGATGCAAATGAACTTTCATTATTATCGAGTGTTTGGAAGCCTAATGGATCTTATGGGATAATTATCTGAGACAGGCAATCACAAAAATATATTGTCTAAAGTATATAGAGAAGTAATTCAATTTCCAGGCAATGGTAAATACAAGAGGATCTGTAGACACCAAATTGTGAATTGATGGAGTATGTAGGTTCATAAAGTGGAGCTTATCATCGATTGCAGCCTTGTTTCTGTCCGTAGACCTTTGATACCGCTGAAGGTAGCCCAAATCATCCATCCAGTGGACTATTTTGAGTGCCAAACATGTCGGGTGTCATCTAGATTTACAAGTCTTAAAATTTTTTAATCATGCAAGTTTAATGTTATGTTGGTCTCATTCCTCAATCAGATAAGAAATGGTTTGCCCTGGCTTTGTTGACAATTGTGGGAAGGGAGTTTGTATTTGGATTATGTTGGCAAATGTCATGTCAATTTTTTTCTCATTTTTCAATTTTATTTATGTTTCCTGTGACCCTCATCAATATTGTGCATGTATACGCTTTCCCCAATCTGGAGAATTTGACCACTGCTTGCCTACCCAAGTAATGCCACTAGAACCGAGGACAAAGTAAAATCACCAATCTAATACAGGAAGTGAACAGGTCTTCAGCTGAATTGTGTTCATCATCTTGAAAAGCTTACGACAAAGAATTCAAAAACTTAAACCCCATTTGTAAACTTATGAAACACAATAATAAAAAAAAATGAAAAAGAAAAAACACATCACTTGATTGAAAGTAGGAAGCAACCTGCAGAGGGAAATAAAAGATTTCTTCCACAGATATCATCAAGATTATCGGTGTTATAATGCATCAACGAAGTTATTGGTAAACAATCCAAGTACTGCGCGTCGCGGATAAGAACCAAAGTTTTATTGAAGTTTTACAACACTTCCAGTGTACCCACTCCTCATTTCTATTTAACAAAAGTACTTTAACACAACAAAACAGTAAATGCAAAAAAATTTCGTAAGTTGTCTACAAAACTGAAATATACCCACGTTAACGATGGATTCAACAACATTTGATCTCTGCTACAGTATTATTCTTCTTTCTTTGGGGTGGTTTCAGCTATTCAACTATTATGCAGCCACCGTTTGCTTCTGTGCAAACCCGATACCCTTCTCAATGCTGGACTTTAGTTCCGGCTTGAGGGCTTCCAGAGCCTTTTGCTCATACTCAGTCAATCCTTGGAAGTCCGAAGAAATCACTGCCTCAATCCCTTTCTTTCCTAGCTTGACCCTTGATGCAAAGAATGGAAGCTCAGTCAGATCAGACTCGATGAAAGAGCACTCATAGACATTGCTATCTCCATCAA